AGGAAGAGTTAGAATAGCTGACCAGACTACACTTCTGTGAATTCCTTCCCTTCCCTTCCCTTCCCTTTGGTCAATTAATTTCCTTAAGGAAAACTGATTTAGCAGTGTGCTTTTGAATGTTTTTTTTTTTTTTTCTTCTAAGAGCACTCTGTTAGACAGCTTACTCATTCTGATATGTGGCTTGCAGGAAATGTATAGTGGAAAATTACTGTAACTTATTCAGGTTTCTGGACTTCCAGCCTGTTTAAAAGAAACTTGCAGCTGAATAAAAGTGCCTTGCCAGCATCAACGAATGACACTTAGATTCATATTCAGTCCATGGTTTCCATTGGTCCCAAAAGCCATTGTTAACCCAGCACTCTGATTGCGTTGGGTTTTTTTATGTTCTTGGACAGCCTTCTCTGAAATGGGGAACTTCTTGGCCACTGATCTGTGCTGTTTTCAGTTATGTTGACACTATGACCCACATAGGGCAGGGATGTGCAACTTATTACCCATGGAGCCATTTGATCCAGCCCACAGACATGAGGTGGGGGCAGTTGTTTCTGCAGCAGTCACTTTCCCATGGCACTGTGGGGAGAAGCAGTGGTATTGGCAGTTTTCCTCGTGGTGCCCTGGGGAAAAATGCTGGTGGCAGCTGGGTCTGACCACTCACCTGTCTTTGACCTGAACTGGGTCATTCTGGCTCACAGCCAAAAAGGGTTACTGACTGCTGTTGAGTGAAAGGAAGACTAGATGCTTTTGTTAGTTTGTGTATGCATAGGGTATTTGTAATACCTTTGTCTGTGCTTTCTGTTGTATACTATGATTATGGGTTCTTACCTGGATGGCTCCAGAGAGTCCATAGGAAGGATGACTTACTGGGTGACAAACAACACAGTAAGCATTTTCTGTGACCTGAGGTGTTAGGTCTTTTTTTTCTTTCAAGGAAAGACTTCATGCAGGTGTGGCTAATGGGAGAGCTCAAAGTGCTTGGCTTGTTGGCCAAGTTAGACTATAAGGTCACTTGTTCATCCCTTCTGCCAGTTACAAAAAGAACTTAATTCCCCTAAGTATTAGTATCTCATTAAGTCTGATGCTGTATTAAGAGAGCTTCAAACTCTGGTGTACAAACTTTTACAATCTTGCATGCTACAACAGCTAAGTCAAGCTCTTTCTCTTGAATAGAGACTCTGAACTTTTAAATTTATAGTGAATGTTTTTGGCCCCATTTTAATAATGTAACTAACCTTACTGATTTCTGTTTGGAATATTGCTTTCATAAATCTATTGCCCTGCTTTACAGGGATTTTATAGCACATTGTGCATGGTTAGAATTTTAATTACATTCTCTATATTATATTTACTTTGTAGGAACTCTTCACACCTTCATGTTGTAATGATTTTATATCGTAAGTTTCACTTACAACAATCCCTAGTGCTTTTTAAATTTTATTGCCATAAAAGTCTTTGTAATAGTGAAGAAAATGTTAGCTTCCTCATACTTTAGTGAGGGAGACTTTACCATGTTGGTTTTTTTTAGCTAACGAAATTAATAAACATGATTCTTCAAGAGGAAGCAGCCCTTTGGGAGGTGTAACAGAGGAGTCTTCTGAGGATGGGCAACTGACTGAATCAGATGAACACACAAAGGGTTCCAGTGTGGATGAGAAGGTAAAAAAGCAAGTATATTCTACTCTGTCATTGTACAATAAATACACAGGCCAGATGAGAATTATATATGACAATTTATTTTTCTGCTTTTGTTACTTGATGCTTGGATTTCAAAGCTTAACTCTAATTGGACATTACCATATTAATTCCTGTAATATTACTGTCTTTCCAGTACTATAAATTATGTTCTTCTAATAAATACTTACAAATAATTACAAGGCTATTTTTAATTATAAATACAAATACTGTTAAGGTTAGTTTGTATATACTGTACGTAACAAAAACTGGAAACCCAAACATGTGAACAGTTAAGGCATCAAAAGCCCTTTGCTGCTTCAGAAATGAATGTGGGGGAGGAGAGTTGTCTGAGACTAGTAAAGAAAGACAAATGTTTGCTTCTTTAAAGACTTCTGCACAGTTTCATGGGTTGGAGGAGGATATGTCTGGCTTATTGGACAGGAGGGATGTAGCATAAGTCTATTAATTTCTGGCAGCTAAAGAGAGATTTTTAAGCTAATTCCCTGTCCAAAAATACCTTCCTTTCTTACCTTCCTTTGACTAGAACTAGGATTTTGGGGCCTTGCTATACATTTTAGTTAACCTTTTTGATATGGGAAGGAGGTCACCCCTTCAATGAGAAGTTTGCTAAGAGGAGACACTCTTGTGTGTTCACTTTTCATTCAGTGGCTCGGGAATCCAGAGGGGTAGAATAGATTGTAAAATTAATTTAGTTGAAATTTGGTAGATATTCAGTGTACATAATTAATGTGTACGGACTGTGGTTCCTTGATAAGTTGGAGTTGGAAGCAGGGTAAACATAGCTTCACCTACAAAATATAGAGAATGGGATTACAGCTTCTGGTATCTGAATGGGATTACAGCTTCTGGTATCTGAACTCTTCCGTTCTTGTTACTTTCTATGGGAAAGAGACAAACCACAAAGGAAACCTAAATGTACAAGGAAAATGGTGAAATGTGCTGTGGATAATCTGAAGAGTGTATTTTTCCTCTAACTTTTTAATACAGTAATCTTGCAATGCAATAGTGTTAAAAAAAAAAAAAAAAATCAGACAATTTGCCCCTTTTCATAGTTAATGAAAAACAGTTTAAATAAATAGTAAATTATTGCCTTTAAATAGTTAAGTAAAAACAGTAGATACTATAATGTAAATTATATTTTTATAATAAAAGCTGACAGCGTGTGCTTTAACCATTTCACTGATTTGTTAAGTTTTTATGTGGATGTAAAATGTATATAGCATTCCCAGTTCCGTAGGAATGTTTAATGAACAGTTGAGTAATTGACATATATTCAAATTATAATTCTTATTTTACAGGACAGATTTTCAGGCAAATCTTCTGTAAAAGAAGAAAAAGACAGCATTTATGAGAAAAGGTAGGTGTGGCAATATTTCTTCACATAATTTCCACTAATTCTTATTAAAGAAGTAAAATGAAAGGCATTTTTATCTGAATTCATTAGCCTTACTAATTTTTGTGCTGCATGCAGTCATGATTGTGTTTAAAAAAAACTGGAACAATTTATTATGTTTACAGAGCTAAACATATTGGAGATGTATGGTTATACTGTTATATGCAGATAGACAAGTGTATGTAATTTTTGTCTGCTGGAAGTTGATTAGCTTAGTCTTGTTTTATACTGGTTTTTGATTGATCTATTCAAACCTCTCAAAATGGATATCATGTGAGATGCATTCTAACATAGAAGGATTTTACATAAGGTGTCAAATGATTAAGGATTATTCAGTATATTTATACTAGCTCTTCTGCAGAACTAATATTGTGAGCAAAATGAAAATAATCCACTAGTAAATTATGATTAAATTTTGTAGATTATAGGAGTCTAAAAACTGCAAGTGTGTATAATAACTGAATTTACTGTAATATAAACAAGGAAGACTTAACTACCTCTCTTTCCTAACTGTATTTTTATTATGAAAACATATTTGCACTAAAGCTCTTAAGGTATCCTACAGTTTTAACATTAATATTAAAAAATGAGATGGGTCCAAGTGCTTTGTAAGAAAAGATTGCAAATGCAGGGGAAACGGAAAGGCAATATAAAAAATTCTCCAACTGAAGTTGAGCGTCTTTTCAAATCGAGTAGCAGTCTAATTTCTCCAACAGCAGAAGCAGGCTAAAAGCTGCTTTTAAAACTTAAATGACATAATGCAAATAACCAGAAGGTTCATAATCAGTTGTTAACTCAGAGTGAATACTAACAGCAGTTAGTGAAAGGGCTGGAGTGCAAATCTGAATGTTTCTACGGTGTCAGCAGTTCTATTAGTACTAGACACTTTGGTGCTCTGTTTTTAATGCGAGTTAAAATATAAATATTAGAATACTGTTGGTGTTTGTATTGGTCTCATTCAGCATTTTCCACAGGAATTTTTTTCTGATGTTCATACAAATGTGTGTTACATTTACAGTATACTATGAACAGGCTGCAATAAAAATTCCTTTGCCTAATGAATCATCTTCTACAGAATCTATATTTTTAAATTAAGTATCTAGCATTTTGGCTTGCAGATGTGAATGGATGTTAAGCCATACAGTGATAGTTGAGTCTCTCTACAGTTCAGATGAGTCTCTTACAGCTCAGTATTTTCACTGTTTTAGCCATGATCCTCAGAAATTCTTGTCTTAGGTGAAACAAAGCTTCATATCTGTGTGTGTGCAGCCTACCAAGATAGCAATGAACATCAAGTTTTATAGGGCAAAAGTTTGGTTCACAGAATGGCTTCTACCTTAAGAAATACCTTATTCAACATAAGTCAACTTGCTGGGCTGGCAATAGTCTCTCTGCATCTGGAAATGGTAAATAAAATGCCCTCTGGGTTCTTGATGTCAAGGCACAAAATGTTAGACAGTGAATGACCTGTCATAAAGCTGGACAGGGTCCTTGCTATATGTCTTCTCACTTTTCATCTGCTCCCAGATGATGTAAAACACAGGAAATAGAGGCTGTTTCTCAGGTCTGGTTAATCTAGCATTGTCTTTTTGTGTGCCTCTCATAGAGGAGTTCTCCTATTGCAAAATCAGTCCTTTGCCTAGAACTAGACCCATTTTTAAAATAAATGTTTGAGTTAAATTTTTGCTGTTATGGGTCCTAAAAGAGAAGTCAATAGATGGAACTTAGTCTGTCATTGCAAAATCCATAGTTTAACCAGTGAATGATGGCTTTAACATAGGTTTGTGTGTGTCCTGGTTAAAAAAAAAAAAAAAAAAAAAAAAAATATCAAATATCTGTAGTATAAGGTTTTCAGCATGTTCAAAGAAAAGATACTTTGTATAACTCCAAACTTCAAACACTTGCTTCAGACATCAACCTTATTCCAGCACTTCGAAGTGAGAGGACAATTTTGAAACCTGAGTTAGCTCATGAGAGTCCTATCCAGATGACAACTCCTGTAGATTTCATATTGCTTATTCATTAGAACAGGCATCCTGAGGGGGTTACTATCTCGAAGATTGGGTGAGGTTTTCTATTTTAAATTAAAATCTTTTTCTAACACTCCATGTTGTACTTCTCAGATAAGCAATCCCTTCAATTCTCATTCCTTACGTAAGGGCTGTCCAACTTTAAGGAGCAAGGCATCACATGCCCTGCAGGCTACGTCAGCAAACACTGTGTACCACACTGGTACATAGAATCATAGAAAATTGGGGTTAGAAGTAACTCCAGGAGGTCATCTAATCCAACCCCCTGCTCAAAGCAGGACCACTTCCAATTGGATCATTCCAGAAAAGCTGTGTCCAGAAGGCCTTAAAAACCTCCAAGGATGGAGATTCCACCACCTCTCTAGGTAATCTGTTCCAGTGCTTCACCACTGTCCTAGTGAGAGCGTTTTTCCTAATATCCAACCTAAGCCTCCTTTGCTGCAACTTGAGATCACTGTTCCTTGTTCTGCCATCTGTCACCACTGAGAACTCCATTTGCTGTGGAGCCACCTTTCAGGTAGTTAAAGGCTGCTATCAGATCCCCACTCAGTCTTCTCTTCTGCAGATTAATAAAACCAATTCTCTCAGCCTCTCCTCAGAAGACCTGTGCCCCAGGCCCCTAATCATTTTTGTTGCTCTCTGCTGAACTCTCTTCAACTTCTCCACAATAGAAAGGATGTGGATGGCCCAGAACTGATTTGGCCTCCAGTGCAGAACAGAATGGAATAATTGCTTCCCTCAGTCTGCTGGCCATGCTCCTACTAATGCAGCCCAGTATAGCACTTGTTTTTTTCTGTAGTAGAATATTGCTCCCCAGTCTGGAACAAAAGCCTACACACAAAGGTGTCGATACAAAGTTAAATGCAGGTGTGTGGGTTATATCGGAAACGTTAATAAGTACACCTTTTAAGATGTACTTAACACCTTTTAAGTGTTAATAAGTACACCTTCCAGTCCTAGCAAACATTGCTCCCCCACAGCTCTGCTGCAGTGCTGCATGCATGAGGGACTACCACAAGGTGCGTCCATCAGTAACCCAAACTTCCCAATCAACGAGGACATCACTATGCCCCCATTGGATAGGCTCAAATCCTTCTGGAAATATCATCATAGACCTTCTTGGTGTAACAAGAGCATCAAAGAAAAATGGACGGAACCCAAGCATATGCCAGCCTGCCACAGAAATACATCGTTAGCAACCCTACAGTCCCCCAGCCAGGATTTGACCTACCAAGAAAGATTTGGTCCCCCCTGAATTCCATCCAGACACTTCTTGGAAAATGTGGACCCCTACTCTATAAATGGAGAATCAAAGAGAGTCCGGGTTGTGATTGTGGTGCAATTTTTAAATGATGCAACACATTGTGAATGATTGTCTAATTAGATTATTTAATGGCGATTTAAAATCAATCCATGCAGTTATCCCGAAACAGTTCAATGGCTATCAAATTTAATCTATGAATGTTGTAATCCTAAAATGTCATATGAAAGAGAAAGGAGCCCAGTATGCTGTTAACCTTCTTGGCAACAAGGGCATACTGTTGGCTCAAATTCAGCTTATTGTCTATTGTAACACCCAGGTCCTTTTCTGCAGAGCTGCTGCTTAGCCAGTTGGTCCCCAGCTTGCATGGGATTCTTCCATCCTAAGTGCAGGACTTTGCATTTGTCCTTGTTGAACCTCATGGGATTTCTTTTGCCCCAATTCTCCAATTTGTCAAGGTGTCTCTGGAATCACAAAGTGTCAAGGTGAATCCTAGCCCTACTCTCCAGCGTATCTACTACTCCCCCCAACTTGGTGTCATCTGTGAACTTGCTTAGGGTGCAATCTATCCCATCCTCCAGATCGTTACTGAAGATATTGAACAAAACCGGCCCCAGGACCAACCCCTGGGGTGCTCCACCAGCTGCCAACTAGACCCGAGACCATTGATCACTACCCACTGAGCCCAACAATCCAGCCAGCTTTCTATCCACCTTACAGTCAATTCATCCAACCCTATTCTTCAACTTGTTTGCAAGAATGCTGTTGGGACCATATCAAAAGTCTTGCTAAAGTCAAAGTATATCACATTGACTACTGTCTCTGCATCCACAGAGCCAGTTATCTCATCAAAGAAGGCAATCAGCTTGGTTAGGCATGACCTGCCCTTGGTGAATCCATGATAACTGTTCCTGATCATTTTCTTCTCCAAGTGCTTAGAAATGGATTCTTTGAGGACCTGTTCCGTGATGTTTCCAGGGACTGAAGTGAAGCTGGCTGGTCTGTAGTTCCCTGGATCTTTCTTCCTTCCCTTTCTTAAAGATGGGCGCTATTTTCGCCCTTTTCCAGTCATCTGGGACCTCCCCCAATCACCACAAAATCCTTGGACACAGGTATTGCGGTAGACATAGTCTTCCTGGACTTCAGGAAGGCCTTCGACACTGTCTCTCACCCCATTCTCATTAAAAAACTAGGAGACTGTGGTGTTGATACCTACAGTTAGATGGGTCACTAATTGGCTGGAGGGCTGGGCCGCACCCAGAGAGTGGTGGTGGACGGGTCTTATCCCACCTGGAGGGATGTGGGCAGTGGGGTTCCACAGGGCTTGGTCCTTGGGCCAGCACTGTTCAACATCTTCATCAGCGACTTGGACGAGAGAGTAAAAAGCACCCTGTTCAAATTCGCAGACAACACTAAGATGTGGGGAGAAGTGGGCACACTAGAAAGGAGGAATAGGCTGCAATCGGACCTGGACAGGTTACAGGGGTGGGCAGATGAGAGCAGGATGGGTTTCAACACTGACAAGTGCAAGGTACTGCACCTGGGGAGGAAGAACCAGCGGCATACCCACAGGCTTGGGAACTCCCTTCTTGTCAGTGCAGAAGCAGAAAAGTATCTTGAAGTCATTATGGATGCTAAAACGAACATGGGCCGACCATGTGGGGATGCGGTCA